CTCTCTCTTTCTCTCTCTCTCTCTTTCTCTCTCTCCCTCTCTCTTTCTATCTCTCTCTCTCTTTCTATACCCCCCCTCTCTCTCTTTCTCTCTCTCCCTCTACCTCCTTCCCTCCTTCTCTCTCTCTCTCTCCACCTATCTCTCTCTCTCTCTCTCTCTCTCTCTCTCTCTCTCTCTCTCGCTCTCTCTCTCTCTCTCTCTCCCTTCCTTCCTCCCTCCCTCCCTCCCTCTCTCTCCCTTCCTTCCTCCCTCCCTCCCTCTCTCTCTCTCTCTTCCTCCCTCCTTTCTCCTAAAAGCAACTATATTACCAACCCGATTCTTTTCCCCCTAAAAGTTCACCCCAGGAACTGTAGTTTGTGGGAGCGGATGTGCTGTTGAGTTAAAGGGGACGGGAACTTCAGCCTCAGGAGATGTTTTCCGAATACACTTCTGATCCGTTGAATTAGTTATGAGTGTGAAGCTACCGTGTGTGTGTGTGTGTGTGTGTGTGTGTGTGTGTGTGTGTGTGTGTGTGTGTGTGTGTGTGTGTGTGTGTGTGTGTGTGTGTCTTCTGTGGGTTGAGATACATAAGAAGGTCTATTTGTCTTTTGGTTTATCTAAGGATGTCATATAATGTTTGATGGATAGGTAGATAGTTAAGGTTGAAGTCAGGTATGAAGTCAAGTATGATTATCATTGCATATCATACACTGACTGATAGATAGATAGATAGATAGTCAAGTGTGAAAACTGTATTTAGATATAAAAAAAAATGATTTTGTATAAGTGTAGATAGGCAGAAAGATAGTCAGATAGATGTTTATAGATGTAATAACTATGTATAAAGAGGGAGGAAGGAGTCTATGTATACAAGAAGACATATAAAGAATTATTTAAATTATACATAAGTATATGATAACCTTGGATAGCACAGATAGGCAGATAATTAGAAATTCCTACACTTCTGCAGCATATGATAAGATAGATAATATATGCAGAAGTGCGGATGGCAACATAATCTACATATAAAACCTCCCTGGTGCATAATCGCTATAATTTCTTTTTTTTTCTTATTTCTTTTTCTTCTTACTCTTTTTATGTTTACCCCTTTCCTCATCTCCGTATTTGTCAGACCCTAAGCATCTGTGCAAATTTCCCTTGCCATCCACACAGCTCCTTTTCCCTGACAAAACAAACAAACATTAATTTCATCTTTTGGTGAAACAGACTCCAGCAAATAGAGTTATTTATTTATTTATTTTACGAGTCGAATTCATCCTTAGGTTAATGCAGCGAGAAGGGGCGGTTAGTTCTGTTGTTTCTGAGGAGAGAGAAGGTCGGTTAGTCTTTTTGAAATACCTCTCTGTCTGTCTGTCTGTATGTATTTATGGTTGTGTGTTTGGTTGTCTCTGTGTCTGTTTGTATATAATATGTCTGTCTGTGTCTGTCTGTGTATGTTTGTCTGTCTGACAGTTTGCTTACTTTTCTTGCCCTTTCTCTCTCTCTCTCTCTCTCTCTCTCTCTCTCTCTCTCTCCCTCTCTCTCACACACACACACACACACACACACACACACGCACACACACACACACACACACACACACACACACGCACACACACACACACACACACACGCACACACCGCCGTGGGTACGTACTCACATTCCCTTGAATAACTTGAATAACTTGACCTAAGCTAACCTTCCCTTAACCCAACGCCACCTAAACTAACGTAACTTTACCTAACCTAACTCCATCTAACCCAGCTTCACCTAACCCAACGTAACCTACCTCTACTATATACATATTTACCTAACATAACCCTAACCTAACTTCACCCTAAGTTCCCCTAACCTATCGGAACCAAACCTAACTTAAACTCACCTGGCATAACGCCACCAAACTCACCTTCAACCACAAGTCGTTTCTATTCTCTGTTATGTTTTCTGTTTACCTTAACAGGAGAACATGAGGAAGTATCTTTCCATTTACTTAAACAGGGAAAAAAACGTAAGACACTTCTTTCCCACACTTAAACAAAACAAAACAAAATGAGGTGAGTCCCTCCCACTTACTTAAACAGGAGAAAAAACATGAGGTCCCTCTTTCCCAATGACTTAAACAAGAAAAAATAGGGTGATTCCATTCCACTTACTTAAACATGAAGAGCATAAGATGTTTTTTCCCCACACTTAAAAGAGAGAGAGAGAGAGAGAGAGAGAAAGAGAGAGAGAGAGAGAGGGAGAGAGAGAGAAAGAGAGAGAGAGAGAGAGAGAGGGAGAGAGAGAGAGAGAGAGAGAGAGAAAGAGAGAGAGAGAGAAAGAGAGAGAGAGAGAGAGAGAGAGAGAGAGAGAGAGAGAGAGAGAGAGAGAGAGAGAGAAAGAGAGAGAGAGAGACAGACAGAAATAGAAAACACATCACGTGCTTCCCTTCCCACTTACTTAAACAGGAAGACCAATACACGTCCTTTTTTCCCAACTTATTTAAACAGGAAAACATAAGCTGTTTCCCTCCCCCCTTACCTTCCACAACAGCAAGAGTCCAGAGAGCCAGCAAGAACTCCGTGCTGGTGTGCATGGCCCTGCCTGAGGGAGAGAGAATGTCCGGGGTTATTGAGCAATATCAGTGGGTAAATTATAATGATAATACTAATGATAGATATTACAATTATGGTGTTAATGATGGAGATAACAATGATAATGATGATGCTAATGATAGATATTACAATTATGGTGTTAATGATGGTAATAACAATGATAATGATAATGGTGATGATGATAGAGATCACAATTATGATGCTAATGATGGTAATAACAATGATAATGATGATGGTGATAGAGATTATTATTATAATGATAATGGTGGTAATAACAATGATGATGATAATAATAATGATAACAATAATAGGGATAATGAAAATGATAATGACTATAATAAGGTGATAGAAAGGGTAATGATAATGACAGCGATAATAACAAAAATAACAGTAATATAATTAAAATGATAATGATTAGAATGATAATGATAATGATGATAACGATGATGATGATAGTAATAATCATAATAATGGTAAAAATGATAATAATAATAATAATGATAACAACCATAATAATAATAACAATATAATAATAATAGTAACAATAATAATAACAACAATAATAATAGTGATAATAATAAGAACAACAACAACAACAATAAGAATAATGATAATAATAATAATAATAATGATAATGATAATAATACTGATAGTGATAATCCTTATGATAATAGAATTCATCATTTTCCATACTTATTTTCATATTTATTCAGTCTCTCTCTTCATTTAAGTAAATACAAAATAATTATATTTTCTCTTCACACGTGTTCATAACATTTAAATTTTGTTGTGAATGCGGTTAGAAAAGATAGAAAGGGGGGGGAGGGGGAGGGAAAGGAGGGAGGAGGGAGAGGGAAAGGAGGAAGGAGGGAGAGGGGAAAATAGGGAGAAGGGGGAGGGAGGAAAGGAAGGGGGGAAGAGGGGGAGGAAAGGAGGAAGGAGGGAGAGGGGAAAAGAGAGAGAGAAGGGGGAGGGAGGAAAGGAAGGGGGGGTGAGGGGAGGGAATGAGGGGAAGGGGGAGAGGAGGGGAGAAAGGCAGGAGGAGGGGGGAAGGAGAAGGAGGGGAGAGGGAGAGGTTATAGAGAGGGAGGACAGAAGGGCGAGAGAAGAGGCAAGGAAGAGAAAAGAATGAGAGAAATGCGAGAGAGAAGACAAGAACATGAGGGAAAGAAAAAAAGCGAGTGAAGGATAAAGAAAGGAGAGAAGAAGAAGAGAAAAGAGGAGAAAAAAACGAAAGGAAAATAGAAAAGAAAAAGGAGTGAGAAAAAACACTTTCGCTCCTGTCATAATTTGAGTCATTCTGTACATGTATCTAAAATGGGAAACATGGTCGGGAATTTTCAGTGCTTGCTTAATAAGAATGTAATGAAGATATTTACGCATTCTTTGTTTCAAGGGACCGTGTGTTTGTGTGTGTGTTTGTGTTTGTGCGTGTGTGTTTGTGTCTGTGTGTTTGTGTGTGTGTGTGTGTTTGTATGTGTGTTTGTGCGTGTGTGTGTATGTGTGTTTGTGTGTGTGAGAGAGAGAGAGAGAGATAGAGAGAGACAGAATGAAAGAGAGACAGACAAACAGACAAAGACAGAGAAATTGCACATACGCAAAACACACAAACTATTTACATATTCCTTCAATTCCCATGACTCTTTCCCTTCCCTTTCCCCTTAATTAACTCTTAATATCCCCATTCCATAACAAATTATGTCCTGTCAAGTGTCATGTCATTAAATGCAATACATCGTCAACACAACTGAAGTATTCTCATGTTATATAACGTATTCAAAACGCTCTTTAATCTTTTTTATTCTGTTGCAAAACTTGTCACCCGAGATAATGACTTTAATCATTTTCATTAATTCATTTTCACTGTTTTTGCATGATTAGAAATTTATTCACTAGAGCATATAATTGTGCCAGTCACTTGCGTTTAATATGTAGTTGTTCCACATGAAGTAAAAAAGTGATTCTAATTTTTTTTTATTGCTTTTTTATTAATATTGATGATTATGATGCATACATACATACATACATACATACATACATACATATATACATACATACTTACTTACATACATACATACATACATACATACATACATACATACATACTTACTTACATACATACATACATACATAGAAACACATATACATATATATGTACATGCATATATCATACATGCATACATACATGCATACGAAGATACATATATACATACATACATACGCACATATGTAATGCATACATACGTATAAAGATACATACATACATACATATATACATACATACGGACATACACACATATTACATACATACATACATACGCACATACGTACATACATACACATACATACATACATCTGAAACACACACACACACACACACACACACACACACACACACACACACACACACACACACACAAACAAAC